GCTGCTCAGGGTATGCATACTGCATGATGTGATACTTCTCTTTGGTATAATTTCCAATTAGGAAATGCACAAAATTTTTAGGTGTGTTGATAGCATTAAGAAACTGTGCTCAGTGTCAAATATGACTTTGTGGGATGGTGTATCTTTATTTTGCTAAACTGCAGATAAAAAACAATTAGACAGCCTAGTTTAGCATCCATGAAATTGCAGTGTTTTATTTGAGTCCTGTGAATTTTCAACCCACAAATATATAAGTTCAAAGAGAAAAATTTAAATCACACTGTCATAAAATAAACTTTAGTAGTGGAGAACAATGCAAAAAGATGAGTGTCTTGTAATCATTTTGAAACATATGAAGCTCCATCCCAAAATGAGGATTAGCAATCTGGAGTCACAGCATTTGAAAACTGGGTTATAAATCTCTGAAAATTGTGGAAACGTTACAGTTATTTCAGTAAGATAAACAAAAATATGCTGTTGATTAATTATACTTTTTTGACCTAACTAGGCAAAAGTATTATTTTATTTAAAGGGACGTTCTGGAGTTTTGGGTGTGATATGCAAGCATTTTACTAAGTTATATGTAGATTCTTACAAGTGTAAAATTTTTTTTAGTCAAAGATAATCATAACCTTTTTTTTATTTTTCATTTAGGAATATATCCTTCATCTTTTAGCTACTGATAACTCTACACATTTTCTCAAAAGAAAGCCTGTTTCAAACTAAACTATGTATGTTTAACAAATTTATGGAATTTTTAGAGTACAAATTTGTAACAGTTCAAGAAACACATATGAATCATATTGAAGGTTGTGGTGTATTAAAACGACATTAGTCAGATACAATTTGTGTTCATAGTGTGAACTCAAAGCTTTTCAGTTATTGTTGTCTAAACAGGACCTTTAAAACTTTATTCACACTAGGTAGTTGAATAAAAGATTTCACATTGCAAAAAGCAATTTTACCATCATTAGCTAAAATAAGAGGGCCCTAGGAAGAAAGGATTATCATATATTAAATAAAAAGTTCACCACCTTACAGCTTAATCCCGTTAGAAAAGATGATTTCTATCTAACTTAATCAGCCAGGGGTCTTTATTGCCTGGAGTATTAATTGATTTAGGTCTTCATTAAGGTCAGAGGTACACCTGGCTGACCAGAGGCAGCCTATTAGCACGTTGTCAGTTATGCTTATTTACATTGACTGAACATAATGGTGGGTTATTTCACTGTTAGGTCAGGGGGTCACTGAATCTTTTGTGCACCCTGACCTGTTAAAGGGCAGCAGTCACTCAGACACCAAACTGCATTCCTAACGAAGATTTGGCTGATTGCATATTGACTCCATCCTTTCCAAGAAACATGCGTTTGTTCATATGATGCAACTATTAACATTGGCCTAAATATCTGTGGGTGAATGGTTGAAATGTCTCCATTAGAAATTCTCTGCAGGTTTTGTATTATGCCAGTTAATTGCTGGCATGTTTTAACAACACCAGCAGGAAAAGTTCCATAGAGTTTCCATAGCTGCTGTTGGCCTTTAATTAAAAAAAAACAACTTAGTCCAAATCTATAGGTATCCTGTTACTTCTGTTTCTTTTTAAGTAGCAATAATTATAGCTTTCTTTTGCTAATTAGCAGCTTAACTTTGTCCTTATGTCCAAGAAATTCTAGTTTTTTCATTGTATTTTTTCCTGAATTATGTTTTGTGGGAGGTGAGTTGTGCCCTTTTGGTAACTTACAATACTGTTTAAAATGTGTTCATGGGATAGAACAGTTCAAAGTGCCACCAGGCGTTCTTCTGACTTTTCCTTTCCATGGTACTGTACGTGCTTTCCTAAAACCTGAATGCAGCTAAAAAAAAAAGGTGAAATAAAATAATAATTTGCTACTATACTGTCTTCCTTCTGTATTAGCTGTGATCTTGCTCTATATTATACTTAATTCCTGCAGCACATCTACACTATGAAAAGCAGTAATTCTCAAATAAGAGCTTAGCATTCCTATCTGGTAGAGTATGGATTGTGTACTCTGAGGTTCTCCTTGTCCACTGAATTCCCTTGATTATTTACAGCTGTGTTAACTGAGCAAAACAACTGCTAAACTATTATGTTAGCTTATGAAGACTCACCTTTTATTTAACTTGAAGTGATACAAATGGAAAAAGAAACAAAAGATGTGGGATCGCGTGAGGCCCCATTTGTAAACTCCTTACTGCTGTGGAGCGATATTGGAAATAAATTGGTACAAGTGAGTGTCTTAACAGTACAAGTTTTTTTATTTTTGGTTTGTCAAATCTTTAATGAAATTTTAGCACTGGAAATATGTGTATGGGCTGCAGTGAAAATTAAATCATCAGTATAAGCTTGAGACATCTAGTGCGTAAATACACATCCGTGATATTGTAGTTTTGTTTCTGTCCTGAGTTTGCTGGATATGCCAGTCCTCTAGACTTGATACACTGTGAATCAATAGCCTGAAAGATCTTCTGTTGTCCTTGTAGATGCTCCATAAAGATAAACTGTTGCAAGGTTCTGGCAGGGTTTTGCAGAACACTTTCACAACACAAGGACTGACACCATACATCGTGACATCTCCCGTTGTAAGATTTCAGTACTGTGAACAAGATATTATGATGTCTTCCCTGTTTTAAATGCTTTTTACTCTGCTAACAATTTTCTGTGTAATGCTTCAAAGTTCTAGAGACAACCCCTTGAAATCTGCACAACAGTGTTTGTACTGGTTTGCTGCTTTGCCCCTGCTGATTGTTTATTTATTTTTGCTTTTCATGACCAAGTCACTGGGAAATAGAAGAGGAACATCCCTCCTCCTTCCCTTATCTGAAATAAAGTCCCCTTGAAATGCAGTTGCTGCAAACCTGTGGCTGTGTTTTGACCCTCTTCCCCTCCTTCCTTCTTGCATCTATCCTTCCATTAACATGGTGACATGTTAGGAACACTGTTTTTCTGTTAATTATGTCTTAAGATACAAACAAGTATGTTAGGAACAGAGGGATTTTTTAAATTGTTTTTTAAAGAACGCTGCAAAATTCCCACTGAATCTGAGCCAAAAGTGGTGCCAATTTTGCTCAAATCCTTCAGAGATTTTTTTGACCTTGCGTATGACCGGTGGGGCTAATTGTATCAGAACTATGCAGGATACTTTAAGAAACTGCTATCTTGGTCCGTATTTCAAAACACTGACAGATATTTTATCCTTAATTAGTATTCATATTATGTCTCAAACAATCTGTTCAAGAATAGAGGAAGTGAACTGGTTGAACAGCTCTTCTGTCTTTCTAATAATTAACATGGGTGATACATGGAAAACCAGCAGCCCAACAAGAAAAAAGGGAAGAAATGTTGCCAGTGTGATTTTCTTCTGTAGAAGTATAAACTACCTGTATTGGAGTTTTTGACTAATGCATGAATTTCGTTTTGCAGAGGTGAAAATGAATGCTTTGCTTTAAAACCTGTGCCCCTCTGAATTATATCTTCCTGAATTTGTTTCTCATCTTGTCAGTATGCCACTTGGTAGCTGGCTGGACTCCCTTGTTCAATGGCACATATTTTAAAATAGCACTGTAAAAAAAAAGACCATTTGTTCCTATAAACCAAAATATTACTTGCATATTTTTTCCAAATTCAGGATTATATATAGCATTATCAAAACAATATTTCAGATATTTTAAACAATTTTAATAGTTGATGGGTGTCAGTTGATATATTATGTTTCCTCTCTGCCTCCTCCCCCTCTTCAGCTGCTAATCATAGAACTTGTATGCCAAATTGTATAAGATACTCTTCCAATAGTTACATGTGTGAGTCTTTTGTGAGACACAGACAGTTATGAGGACAGATTTGGAGTTGCATATGGGTCTGTCACATGATTTGATTGCCATGTCTTCTAAGACACAGATTTCTTTTTTAATTATTCTTAATTCTGAGGAATTTTTACAGTTTATACAGTAAGTTCTGCAAAATCCCTCCTAAAGATTCCTTGCACAGTCCATTTTTCCTCTCTTTACTCCTAGCAAAATGTTTCCTGTGCTGACTTCAAAACTGCTTACACCCACCTTACTTCCCACTTCTATACTTAGTTTTCTTTTGATGTAGAATAAAATTTACTGCTTCACTGATCAGGAAATGTACAGACTTTCTAGAGAAGTGCAGCATAAGAGGATGAAAAGTTTTGATATTTACATTAAGATTTTATAATAAATCTTTGAGATGTCTGAATACTAAGAATAGATGTTTCTCTTGCTGGCTGCTGTTAAAAAAAGTAGGTCTTTGGTGTGTTGCCAGGAAGAATTTAGAAAATCAGCCCAAAGTAACTGCATTGCGGCTCAACTTAAAACATATACTGGTGGTATATCTGGCCACCCATTTAATTCCATTTTCAAAAGGTGAACCCATCTCTTTGGTCAAGTAGCACTCTTTTGCATTTTATTTTCAATCTGCAGTTTCCTTTTACCTTCTGGTGGATTATTGTGACTTTTCATACACAGTCTTTTAAGGTGTTCTGCAAGTATTATTTTTATAGTGTTTTTAAATTAGTTTACTAAAGACATTACAGACATATACTTATACATCCTTATTTATTCTTACATAAAACAAAGCTTAACTTTTAAGACTTAAAAAAAAGCATTAAACCAAAGATAGTGTGCGTCATCACCCAGAAAAAGAAAGCAAGAACATGCTTAACCATGTTGGAGCATGAGTGTGATCCAGCAGCTGTAACAGAAACATCAGACATTATTGTTTTGAGCTGAGATATGCATCCATGTATTAACTGTTAGGTTAAAGTTTATTGCAATGTTGTGTTTTTATGCTGTTGTTAAATCCCTATCAAAAATTGTCTTTAGACTGGCCGATTTGCTCCATTTGTGACAAATCATGGCAAAGAATAGGATTGTTGAAAGAAACTACCCGGAAAAGAGTAAAGTGCTTCTCTTGCCTTCCATATATTCCCAGAATCTTACTTATTTTGATTTTGTTCTAGGTTGGAGATGTTCTCTACTGTGCTGGACAGATTGCTCTGGTACCTTGTACGATGCAGCTTGTTAGCGGTGGCATATGGACTGAGGCCATAGTTTCCCTCCGTCATGTTGAGCGGGTTCTTCAAGCTATGAGCCAGAAGACTGCACTCCATCACGTCATCACAGCCAGCTGCTATGTCACTGACAGCAAGCACATTCCTATTGCTCGCTCTATATGGCAGAAGAAAATGAAAGAATGTAAAAAGGTAGCTGTGATATCCATTTTCTTCTTTCTGGGTTGTCTTCTTTTCTCCTGCAAGTCTTGTAGTAATATCGGAATTTTCTCAGTACATTTCAGAGGGGTTCATGTGAAGCTGATACAATACAGTTTGATTGAGCTGTTATGTTCTGGCTCATAAGTGGTTGTGCACAATTGAGAAAGAAAATTGCTTAATAGAAACTTACATTCATCACTAACTTTGTCTTAATTCCCCAAAGCAATGTGTTAAAGAACTCTTAAAGAACTCTTAAAGAGCAGTCAGTTCCTCCAGCAAAAATGTGAACAATGCCTTATTTGAATTACTTCTGCCCATATATTTTTACATAATAAGAACTGGGCATTTTACTTCAACTTTCTGTGAGTTGTTCTGTTCAGGTTTATTCCCCACTCTTTCTTAAGAGCGATATTGTCATGACAACTGAGCTTAGTAGTTTACTGCTCATTATTGCTTACTATTCAGCTGAACTTTTAAGACCAGATCAGGGCGTGCCTGTCTGTTGGTTGACCCCAGACTATTTCTAACAGCATAATAATTTAGACAGTGATGTATAAGGATGCCATAATCATTTGTATTATGTATGTACCACTTTTCTTAAATAGCCAAGGAACACCCTGCAAGCATTGAAAAGGTAGTGGCCATGAATCTTGTAAATAAAACATAACTTCTCCACAAAAAAAGTGTAGTAACTGCATAATTGCTGTGTAATTTAATATAACTTAATTGTTATGGTTTCTCAGGGAAATATATGGCTTGGAAGCGTAGCATATGTTAATATTGCCATAGAAGAAGGAAAAATGCATCTGAAACTTTCTTTCTATTTGCCTTCACTTTCAGTCTCTGCACTAGGCACTTGTCTTTCTGAGTAAAGATGTAGGCTTTACTTATATGCCTACACATTCCACCTTGATTTATTAGTAAAGGACCCTCTTAAATACTCTTTACTCCTCCTCCAAGACCAAGTGTAATGAATCTGAATTCAATTCATTTTTTTTCTGTGTGACTGGTTAGTAACATGTACCATGACCACAAAGCCTACGTACTTTCTTATTTGTAATGTATATGATTTAAGGGCAGATTGGTGTTTCCCAGTTCTTTGAAACTTTTCCTTTTTCCAGATAGAATCTTTTAGGTCTTCCATAGTTGTTATACATATCAGCCACGCTTTATTGACTCTTATTTCTCCCACTTACTGGGAAGACTTAGTAGTACTTTCTCAACTACATGGAAAATACTAATGAGGTGGCTTGCTTTTGGGCTATTGCTAGTACCTCACCCATGTCACTTTTTAATTGTTCAAGCCATGGCTTAAAAATTGATTGCTGCCTACACATACTTCTATGAAGAGTTAGCTGCCTAACAGTTTTCAGGAATGTTTAAGAAAAAACATCCTAGAGGAGCATCAAGCAATCCTAGAGGGAGTTCATCAGTCTTAGTCTGTGCTTATTAGATCATATTCACTAATGACAGTATCGGAAAGAGAAAAAAAATATTAGCAGATGAATTAATGTGTGCCACAACATGATCTAAAAATACTTTGGAAAAAACGAAAATATCAGTGGGAATGAGATGTTATTAGGACCCAGATGTTCCAATTTCCCTATAATTTTGTCAATAGGAAACTCAGACAGAGGACTTGAATTTTTCCTCAGGCTATTTTTTGATTAGTAAGGATCTGTGTACAGAGCAAAGCAGAAAAAAGATGTAGCAGACACTTTTGTTACAAGAAACCCGAGGGAGGAATTGTATCTTCAGGGCAGGACAATTGTCCTCTTAATGGAAATAGAGATTTTGTACTGGAGGAAAAGCACAATAGCTGGCATAGTATTGGCAGAATTGTTCCTTTACTCTCAGAATAAGGAAGATGGTAAAGTTTGAAATTTGGAAGAATATTGTAAAATGACTGATAAATTGTATGACAGTTGTACCTCGCGTATTGCATAGAATCGGTGAAAACAGGAAGTGTAGTTTTTACATCTCTTGACATTTTCTTTGGAGCAGCCTGTTGGATGCTGTAAGACACTGCCTTTCTGTGTGGAAGCCAGAACACAGTAGCTTTACTCTGAAGACATCTGTATTTAAGAGTCTAAGTAGCATATCCCTTACTTGTGTGGTTTTGTTTATTTTTTTTGGTATCCCAACTACTACAGACAGTTCTATCAGATACCATGAAATGAAATAATGGTCTGTTTTCTTCAAGTAGACAAAGTCAGCCAAACCAAAAGTATTTTATTATTCTTGAACTGTATTTCAAGCCGTGGCCAAAGGCCTGAATCAATAGCAACTTACAGATTACTTAATAAGTACAAATGGTGTCTCAGTTGAAATTGTTCTGCTTCTGTCATCCATGGAAAAAGGAGTTTGTGCAAACAAAACAATGCAGCTGAGAACTCGTTTCTTGTAAACTAGGCATCATAAACCATAGAACTTAATTATGTTTTAAAGACAGGTTTTAGACCCTACATTTCTGTTTGTTGAATGTTCTGTATTTAATAGCAAAATGATGGTATATTAAGATTGAGGTATTTGTATTTAACAAGTGACTAAATCATATGCATCAGAACTGCCAAAGGATGTTTTTTTTAAAGTACCAAAAATTATTAGCATTCTGTCATACGGTGTTGTCTGGTAAACATCCTCTACATAAATAGTACTGTTCAGCAACTTCAGTTGAATCATTCTACATACTTGATGTCAGTAGTCTGTAAAGCACAAAAGGGATTATATAAATTGTTTAGGACACAAATAAATCAGACCTAACAGAACAAAATATAAAGAGAAGTGTGAGATTTCTTCTCTGGATGTGTTTATATAACACAAAAGGTTTACTTCTCAGAGCAGGATGCGGCCAGAGAGTTGATCAAAGCTTTGTTTGAGCTGAGGCCACAGGGTCAGACACACTTACCTGGACTTTAGAGGACTTCTTGTCATACTGACAGTGACAATTATCTTTTAGAAACTTCTTGAATTATGAAGAGAAAGATAAATAGACTATGTTTCAGAATAACCAAATTATTTCAATGATAACCAGAGGATGGGCTCTAGTGAGCATCAAGGATGGGAGGGGATTGTAACAGAGGGAGAAAAAAGTAACACTAAGCAGGCTGGTCCCCTTAGCAACTTCTAAGCTGTTTCAGTCACCCAGCCTCTGGTCCTTTCCGTATTCCAGCGTCATTCCTTGCTTCCTACACAATTTTCCACTGCTGTCATCCTGTTTTCCCTCACTCCAGATGGCAGCTCAGTATCTGTGCTCCCAGCACCATTCCCTGCAGCCTCACCCCTCCGGTATAATCCCGAGCGTTACGTCTCTGAACTCCAGGTACCAACAACCATCAAGAATTGTGTCCTTAGAGCTGCAGTCCAGCCCCTATCCCTCTCTCTTCTTTCTTCCTATGTCCCTTGGAGTCGCAGTGTCATTGGAAGAACTGTTTGGGGTGACAGAGGAGACAGAAATCTGGTGGAGGAATGGAAGGTTGTAGCAGAAAGAAAAAGACAGTGGGGAGGGAAGGATAAGAAAGCAGCCCCACTGAGGTTTCACTCAAAAAAAAAGTACTAAATCACTGGGCTAAATAAAAGATCTTTGATCAACATTTTGAGGGTACACGAAAGAGATTTCCTTTCTTAAAACTAAAAGGGGATTGTAAGAACAGATCTAGAGTGGGCGAGCCGAGGTAAGCATTTAAGTTCTGTAGATGGATAAGTCTTCATTGTTGTTAAGTAGTGGTTGTTGGAGAAATTAAAATATAGTTAAGGGAAGCAGTGGTTAAAATCAAAAGAAAAAACAGGCTGCAAAAATAGCATAAAGACAAATAAACATGCAAACAAATAATGCAAACAATTAATCAAAACCAATACCTAGTAAAAATAATTGGAGTTAACAAATGCAAGTGCCAGCCATCAGCAGCTTACCCCCACCCTATTTTTCAAGTTACAGTCCTTCCACAGTTGCTTTGTGATTCGCAGGCATGCTTTGGGACATTTTGACACTCTTCAGGAGATAGATTTAGGGAGCTTCTCTAACATACGTGGTCATAAATAGTAACAATTGTGTGGTAGAACAGTTTCTCCCTAATCCAGTAGTTAGCATTTAGAACTTTTTTTCCTTTTAAAGTAGCCAAAAAAACCCCAAATTTATAGCACTGCTAAAACTTTCTGGAAGAAGAACTGACAGTTTTCCAATTAAGTCTCATCTTCTGTTTTTCTTTACTTCACATCTTTTAATGACACTGTCATGTAATATGATGATTTTATAAGTGTTTTTGCTAACTCATTCAGCAGAGTAATCAATACAAAAAAATAAGCCAGATGGGTTGTAGTCCATTTGTATTGGGTGGGACAGATGGCATTATTGATAGATGGAAATATTCCAAATAATTATTGTATAATGGTATAACAGTGACTGTGCCTGCAAAATTTTATTAATTTACTTTGTGTATGCACTTTATTCAGTAGGGGTTGAGTTGTACCGTTTAGACAGTACTCCTGCTATATTTAGCTGGGAGCTGAGTCCACCCCCTACCTTCTTTTTCCCTTCCCTGTGGGCTTTCCATGCAGAATCATCCCTGTAGTACTTTGTGAGAGTATTTCAAGTGGTGGATTGTACTGTCTGTACAACAGACTGCTCTGGACTAACTGAGGTGGGCAAGATCATGGTTACATCTCTTTTTTCTACCTCTGAATGCCCGCTTTTTGCTTTCTTTTGTTGTCCTCACCAATACAAAGAAACAGACTGTACTGTCTCAAGATTTCAGGCAATCCAACTTGTTTAACTGCTGTGTTTTGTTCTTCTTACATCTTGCTAATCCCCAGCAAGATTTGGTACAGCTAGACCAGTAAAATGTATCAGTTTTGATAAACTGTGTAATAGATACTGGTTTGGGCTGTTGCCCTTCAAATGTATATTCCATGAAAAAGTACCATTAATTCTTTTTTTTCTGCGAGTTAAGAGCACATTTACTTAAAACACTTGGAGGCCATTTGCTGCTTTT